GCGGAGTGAGGAGGGCGGAGTGAGGAGGGCGGAGTGAGGAGGGCGGAGTGAGGAGGGCGGAGTGAGGAGGGCGGAGTGAGGAGGGCGGAGTGAGGAGGGCGGAGTGAGGAGGGCGGAGTGAGGAGGGCGGAGTGAGGAGGGCGGAGTGAGGAGGGCGGAGTGAGGAGGGCGGAGTGAGGAGGGCGGAGTGAGGAGGGCGGAGTGAGGAGGGCGGAGTGAGGAGGGCGGAGTGAGGAGGGCGGAGTGAGGAGGGCGGAGTGAGGAGGGCGGAGTGAGGAGGGCGGAGTGAGGAGGGCGGAGTGAGGAGGGCGGAGTGAGGAGGGCGGAGTGAGGAGGGCGGAGTGAGGAGGGCGGAGTGAGGAGGGCGGAGTGAGGAGGGCGGAGTGAGGAGGGCGGAGTGAGGAGGGCGGAGTGAGGAGGGCGGAGTGAGGAGGGCGGAGTGAGGAGGGCGGAGTGAGGAGGGCGGAGTGAGGAGGGCGGAGTGAGGAGGGCGGAGTGAGGAGGGCGGAGTGAGGAGGGCGGAGTGAGGAGGGCGGAGTGAGGAGGGCGGAGTGAGGAGGGCGGAGTGAGGAGGGCGGAGTGAGGAGGGCGGAGTGAGGAGGGCGGAGTGAGGAGGGCGGAGTGAGGAGGGCGGAGTGAGGAGGGCGGAGTGAGGAGGGCGGAGTGAGGAGGGCGGAGTGAGGAGGGCGGAGTGAGGAGGGCGGAGTGAGGAGGGCGGAGTGAGGAGGGCGGAGTGAGGAGGGCGGAGTGAGGAGGGCGGAGTGAGGAGGGCGGAGTGAGGAGGGCGGAGTGAGGAGGGCGGAGTGAGGAGGGCGGAGTGAGGAGGGCGGAGTGAGGAGGGCGGAGTGAGGAGGGCGGAGTGAGGAGGGCGGAGTGAGGAGGGCGGAGTGAGGAGGGCGGAGTGAGGAGGGCGGAGTGAGGAGGGCGGAGTGAGGAGGGCGGAGTGAGGAGGGCGGAGTGAGGAGGGCGGAGTGAGGAGGGCGGAGTGAGGAGGGCGGAGTGAGGAGGGCGGAGTGAGGAGGGCGGAGTGAGGAGGGCGGAGTGAGGAGGGCGGAGTGAGGAGGGCGGAGTGAGGAGGGCGGAGTGAGGAGGGCGGAGTGAGGAGGGCGGAGTGAGGAGGGCGGAGTGAGGAGGGCGGAGTGAGGAGGGCGGAGTGAGGAGGGCGGAGTGAGGAGGGCGGAGTGAGGAGGGCGGAGTGAGGAGGGCGGAGTGAGGAGGGCGGAGTGAGGAGGGCGGAGTGAGGAGGGCGGAGTGAGGAGGGCGGAGTGAGGAGGGCGGAGTGAGGAGGGCGGAGTGAGGAGGGCGGAGTGAGGAGGGCGGAGTGAGGAGGGCGGAGTGAGGAGGGCGGAGTGAGGAGGGCGGAGTGAGGAGGGCGGAGTGAGGAGGGCGGAGTGAGGAGGGCGGAGTGAGGAGGGCGGAGTGAGGAGGGCGGAGTGAGGAGGGCGGAGTGAGGAGGGCGGAGTGAGGAGGGCGGAGTGAGGAGGGCGGAGTGAGGAGGGCGGAGTGAGGAGGGCGGAGTGAGGAGGGCGGAGTGAGGAGGGCGGAGTGAGGAGGGCGGAGTGAGGAGGGCGGAGTGAGGAGGGCGGAGTGAGGAGGGCGGAGTGAGGAGGGCGGAGTGAGGAGGGCGGAGTGAGGAGGGCGGAGTGAGGAGGGCGGAGTGAGGAGGGCGGAGTGAGGAGGGCGGAGTGAGGAGGGCGGAGTGAGGAGGGCGGAGTGAGGAGGGCGGAGTGAGGAGGGCGGAGTGAGGAGGGCGGAGTGAGGAGGGCGGAGTGAGGAGGGCGGAGTGAGGAGGGCGGAGTGAGGAGGGCGGAGTGAGGAGGGCGGAGTGAGGAGGGCGGAGTGAGGAGGGCGGAGTGAGGAGGGCGGAGTGAGGAGGGCGGAGTGAGGAGGGCGGAGTGAGGAGGGCGGAGTGAGGAGGGCGGAGTGAGGAGGGCGGAGTGAGGAGGGCGGAGTGAGGAGGGCGGAGTGAGGAGGGCGGAGTGAGGAGGGCGGAGTGAGGAGGGCGGAGTGAGGAGGGCGGAGTGAGGAGGGCGGAGTGAGGAGGGCGGAGTGAGGAGGGCGGAGTGAGGAGGGCGGAGTGAGGAGGGCGGAGTGAGGAGGGCGGAGTGAGGAGGGCGGAGTGAGGAGGGCGGAGTGAGGAGGGCGGAGTGAGGAGGGCGGAGTGAGGAGGGCGGAGTGAGGAGGGCGGAGTGAGGAGGGCGGAGTGAGGAGGGCGGAGTGAGGAGGGCGGAGTGAGGAGGGCGGAGTGAGGAGGGCGGAGTGAGGAGGGCGGAGTGAGGAGGGCGGAGTGAGGAGGGCGGAGTGAGGAGGGCGGAGTGAGGAGGGCGGAGTGAGGAGGGCGGAGTGAGGAGGGCGGAGTGAGGAGGGCGGAGTGAGGAGGGCGGAGTGAGGAGGGCGGAGTGAGGAGGGCGGAGTGAGGAGGGCGGAGTGAGGAGGGCGGAGTGAGGAGGGCGGAGTGAGGAGGGCGGAGTGAGGAGGGCGGAGTGAGGAGGGCGGAGTGAGGAGGGCGGAGTGAGGAGGGCGGAGTGAGGAGGGCGGAGTGAGGAGGGCGGAGTGAGGAGGGCGGAGTGAGGAGGGCGGAGTGAGGAGGGCGGAGTGAGGAGGGCGGAGTGAGGAGGGCGGAGTGAGGAGGGCGGAGTGAGGAGGGCGGAGTGAGGAGGGCGGAGTGAGGAGGGCGGAGTGAGGAGGGCGGAGTGAGGAGGGCGGAGTGAGGAGGGCGGAGTGAGGAGGGCGGAGTGAGGAGGGCGGAGTGAGGAGGGCGGAGTGAGGAGGGCGGAGTGAGGAGGGCGGAGTGAGGAGGGCGGAGTGAGGAGGGCGGAGTGAGGAGGGCGGAGTGAGGAGGGCGGAGTGAGGAGGGCGGAGTGAGGAGGGCGGAGTGAGGAGGGCGGAGTGAGGAGGGCGGAGTGAGGAGGGCGGAGTGAGGAGGGCGGAGTGAGGAGGGCGGAGTGAGGAGGGCGGAGTGAGGAGGGCGGAGTGAGGAGGGCGGAGTGAGGAGGGCGGAGTGAGGAGGGCGGAGTGAGGAGGGCGGAGTGAGGAGGGCGGAGTGAGGAGGGCGGAGTGAGGAGGGCGGAGTGAGGAGGGCGGAGTGAGGAGGGCGGAGTGAGGAGGGCGGAGTGAGGAGGGCGGAGTGAGGAGGGCGGAGTGAGGAGGGCGGAGTGAGGAGGGCGGAGTGAGGAGGGCGGAGTGAGGAGGGCGGAGTGAGGAGGGCGGAGTGAGGAGGGCGGAGTGAGGAGGGCGGAGTGAGGAGGGCGGAGTGAGGAGGGCGGAGTGAGGAGGGCGGAGTGAGGAGGGCGGAGTGAGGAGGGCGGAGTGAGGAGGGCGGAGTGAGGAGGGCGGAGTGAGGAGGGCGGAGTGAGGAGGGCGGAGTGAGGAGGGCGGAGTGAGGAGGGCGGAGTGAGGAGGGCGGAGTGAGGAGGGCGGAGTGAGGAGGGCGGAGTGAGGAGGGCGGAGTGAGGAGGGCGGAGTGAGGAGGGCGGAGTGAGGAGGGCGGAGTGAGGAGGGCGGAGTGAGGAGGGCGGAGTGAGGAGGGCGGAGTGAGGAGGGCGGAGTGAGGAGGGCGGAGTGAGGAGGGCGGAGTGAGGAGGGCGGAGTGAGGAGGGCGGAGTGAGGAGGGCGGAGTGAGGAGGGCGGAGTGAGGAGGGCGGAGTGAGGAGGGCGGAGTGAGGAGGGCGGAGTGAGGAGGGCGGAGTGAGGAGGCGGAGTGAGGAGGGCGGAGTGAGGAGGGCGGAGTGAGGAGGGCGGAGTGAGGAGGGCGGAGTGAGGAGGGCGGAGTGAGGAGGGCGGAGTGAGGAGGGCGGAGTGAGGAGGGCGGAGTGAGGAGGGCGGAGTGAGGAGGGCGGAGTGAGGAGGGCGGAGTGAGGAGGGCGGAGTGAGGAGGGCGGAGTGAGGAGGGCGGAGTGAGGAGGGCGGAGTGAGGAGGGCGGAGTGAGGAGGGCGGAGTGAGGAGGGCGGAGTGAGGAGGGCGGAGTGAGGAGGGCGGAGTGAGGAGGGCGGAGTGAGGAGGGCGGAGTGAGGAGGGCGGAGTGAGGAGGGCGGAGTGAGGAGGGCGGAGTGAGGAGGGCGGAGTGAGGAGGGCGGAGTGAGGAGGGCGGAGTGAGGAGGGCGGAGTGAGGAGGGCGGAGTGAGGAGGGCGGAGTGAGGAGGGCGGAGTGAGGAGGGCGGAGTGAGGAGGGCGGAGTGAGGAGGGCGGAGTGAGGAGGGCGGAGTGAGGAGGGCGGAGTGAGGAGGGCGGAGTGAGGAGGGCGGAGTGAGGAGGGCGGAGTGAGGAGGGCGGAGTGAGGAGGGCGGAGTGAGGAGGGCGGAGTGAGGAGGGCGGAGTGAGGAGGGCGGAGTGAGGAGGGCGGAGTGAGGAGGGCGGAGTGAGGAGGGCGGAGTGAGGAGGGCGGAGTGAGGAGGGCGGAGTGAGGAGGGCGGAGTGAGGAGGGCGGAGTGAGGAGGGCGGAGTGAGGAGGGCGGAGTGAGGAGGGCGGAGTGAGGAGGGCGGAGTGAGGAGGGCGGAGAGGAGAGCGCAGTGAGGAGGCATCACTGTGATGCGCTCCCTGTGCGCCTTCCCATGGTCCTGTGCCCTGGCCGAGCCACAGTCCGCCATGAAGGGACTGGGGTGAGGTGGTGGTACGTGGCGAGGGAGGAGCGAGGGATGGGGGGAGAGGAGAGGGTGATCAACTTGTGCCACCACTTGCAGTGGCGTGGCGACACTCAACTCTCCCGCAGCACGGGAGGCATCCTAGTGTGGACTGGCGAGAGCAGTGAGAACGGGGGGAGGAGTGAGGAGGAAGCAATGGGGAGGGAGGGGGATGGAGGAGTTGGGAGGAGGGAGTTGGGAGGGGGGAGTGGGGGAGGGAGGAGGGGAAGGAGGAGTGGGAGGGAGGAGTGGGAGGGAGGAGTGGGAGGGAGGAGTTGGAGGGAGGGAGGAGAGGGGAGGGAGGGGAGGGTGAGGAGGGAGGAGTGCTGTCGTTTCCTCTGTCAACTACAGCCACCTGCCTCTGCTCCCCACACATCACCCTTGCCTCTGCTCCCTCCCTTCCCCTCCCACCTCCCTTCCCCTCCCACCTCCCTTCCCCTCCCACCTCCCTTCCCTCCCACCTCCCTTCCCCTCCCACCTCCCTTCCCCTCCCACCTCCCTTCCCCTCCCACCTCCCTTCCCCTTGCACCTCCCTCCCCGTCCCACCTCCCTCTCCGTCCCACCTCCCTTTCCGTCCCACCTCCCTTGTCGCTCTCCCCCTGCCGCTCACCTGTCGGAGCAGCACGTTGGTGGCCTTGAAGTCGCGATGAACGAAGTTGTTGGCGTGGATGGTCGTCAGCGCCTCCGCACACCCCAGCGCCACCGCCACGCGTTGCTTCCACGTGAATGACACCTCGCCCCTCGCCGCTGATGGGGGGGGGAGGAGCAGGGGAGGAGGTGAGGGAGGGAACGGGAAGGGAGAGAAGGGAGGGCAGAGAAGGGGAGGGGAGGGGAGGGAAGGGAAGGGAGGGGAAGGGAGGGGAGGGAGGGGGATGAGGAGGGGAGGGAGGGGAGGGAGGGGAGGGAGGGGAGGAGTGTTCGGGCTGGGAGGGAAAGGCAGGGCGCAGGGCGTGCAGATAATGTTAGAGGCATGCCACAGCCCGCCTCATCCCAGCAGCACCTGTGGCCTCATCCCCGCAGCACCTGTGGCCTCTGCTGACACGGGCATGAGAGGACGGGGCAGCGGAAGGGAGCGCAGAGAAGGGCGCAGAACAAGCCGCGCATTTTCCAAGAAGAACACACTTGGAGAAGAACCCGTGGACCCCCATTGCCATGGCAGCGAGGGAGTAGGGAGCGAGAGAGGTAGGGAGCAGGAGGAGGGCAGGGCGGAAGAAAGAGCAGGGGTCCATGTGGTGCGTGGGAGATGGTGTCGCCTCTGTGCTTGCTGCTGCTCTGCCCTCCGCTCTCCCCTGATGGCCCATGGCGTCATCCCCCAACGCCCCAGTTCTCCGTGCTCCCCCCCCCACTGGCTGCAGCGCTGCTCCCAGCGCTCACACACGGCGCCCCTCATGGCTGATGCCACGCGGGGGGCAGCAGAGGACAGGCAGGGGACACACAGGAGGGGGCAGGACCGAGCAGAGAGTGGGGTGGGCAAAGGACAAGGTGAAGCGGACGCGGGAAGGAGGCAGGAAGGAGGCGGGGCATGGGGGTACCTTTAGCGAGGTAGGTGGAGGCGTCCCCCATGGGCACGTAGTCGTAGATGAGGATGGGCGTGGCGCCCACCACGTAGCCCTCCAGTCGCAGTATGTTGGGGTGGTGCACGCGCGCCATCACCCCCACCTCCGTCTGTGTGTCATGCCATGCCATGCCATGCCATGCCATGCAATGCCATGCCATGCCATGCCATGCAAGCAAGGGAAGAGGGGCGCGAGGGGAATGATGACGGGTGGGGAGAACGGGGGGGGCGGAGATGGGTGCAGGCCGCAGGGAGGCAGCTGGTAGGATGGAGGGAATGAAGGCGCGCAGCGAAAAGTGCCCTATTCAACTTGACATCCCACCGTGTTTTCCTGTAACACCCTCCTTGGGTGTATGTGTTATGTGCGTGCTTTCATGCATGTGCATGCTTTCATGCATGTGCATGCGCATGAGCCCAAGCTGCTCGCAATGCACTGTGGCACGTGGCAGTGGCAGTGGCAGTGGCGCGCACAATGAAGCTGTCGATGCCGTTGGTGATGTGGTCCTCCGCCATCAGCTTCACCGCCACCTCGTGCGCCGCACCCCCCTGGGGTCAGCGAGGCGCCCATGGAAGACAACGCCGAAGCCCCCGCGGCCGATCTCAGTGGAGAAGGACTGCGTGGCGGCCTGCACCTCCTGGTAGTTGTACTGCGACACCACTCCTGGGGTAAGCGACTTGCGCAGGGGGTACCCGCCTGTTGCGCCTGGAGGGGCCGGGGGAGCAGCTGCGGGGAAGGGCAGGGGGGACGGGACGGGGGAGGGGGGGGGGGTGGGAGGGGGGAAATGGGAGGGAGCGGTGGGGAAAGAGGAGGCGAGAAGGGAGATTTGAGGCGCGTGAGAGGTGTTGCGCGCGGGAAGGAGCGCGTGAGAGGTGTTGCGAGTGGGAAGGAGCGCGTGGCGGGCTGCACCTCGTGCGCCAGGGACGTTTGAAGAGGGTACCCCCGCGCGCTTACGCTGGAGGGGGCGCGGGTGCTGTTGCGAAGAAGGGCGGGGGGGAGGGGAGGCGGAAGGCGGGAGGGGGTAAGGGAGGAAAGAGTGAGAGGGAGGGAGCCGGGGTGTGGCTAGGGTGGGGTTGAGAGGGCAGTGGTGCTTCGGAGCAATGGTGCAAGAATGAGGTCAGGGGGGCGGTTTGAATGGGGGCAGGGGGGCGGTTGAATGGGCAGGGGGGCGGTTGAATCAGGGGGGCGGTTGAATGGGCAGGGGGCGGTTGAATGGGGGCAGGGGGGCGGTTGAATGAGGTCAGGGGGGCGGTTGAATGGGGGCAGGGGGGCGGTTGAATGGGGGCAGGGGGGCGGTTGAATGAGGTCAGGGGGGCGGTTGAATGGGGGCAGGGGGGCGGTTGAATGAGGTCAGGGGGGCGGTTGAATGGGGCAGGGGGGGCGGTTGAATGGGGGCAGGGGGGCGGTTGAATGAGGTCAGGGGGGCGGTTGAATGGGGGCAGGGGGGCGGTTGAATGGGGGCAGGGGGGCGGTTGAATGAGGTCAGGGGGGCGGTTTGAATGGGGGCAGGGGGGCGGTTGAATGGGGGCAGGGGGGCGGTTGAATGGGGGCAGGGGGGCGGTTGAATGGGGGCAGGGGGGCGGTTGAATGGGGGCAGGGGGGCGGTTGAATGGGGGCAGGGGGGCGGTTGAATGGGGGCAGGGGGGCGGTTGAATGGGGGCAGGGGGGCGGTTGAATGGGGGCAGGGGGGCGGTTGAATGGGGGCAGGGGGGCGGTTGAATGGGGGCAGGGGGGCGGTTGAATGGGGGCAGGGGGGGGCGGTTAATGGGGGCAGGGGGGCGGTTGAATGGGGGCAGGGGGGCGGTTGAATGGGGGCAGGGGGCGGTTGAATGGGGGCAGGGGGGCGGTTGAATGGGGGCAGGGGGGCGGTTGAATGGGGGCAGGGGGGCGGTTGAATGGGGGCAGGGGGGCGGTTGAATGGGGGCAGGGGGGCGGTGGAATGGGGGCAGGGGGCGGTGGAATGGGGGCAGGGGGGCGGTGGAATGGGGGCAGGGGGGCGGTGGAATGGGGGCAGGGGGGCGGTGGAATAAGGTCAGGGGGGCGCGATGGGAGCTGCAATGCAACGAGATCGCAAAGAGGGGAGGGGAGGGGGTAGGTGAGGGGAGGCAAGGAGGTGGGAAGGGTGGATGGGGTGGGAACGGTGGATGGGGTGGGAACGGTGGATGGGGTGGGAACGGTGGATGGGGTGGGAACGGTGGATGGGGTGGGACCGGATAACGCGAGTGGGGAGGGCTCGAAGCGCGAGCGCGGGGCACTCGCACCTGGTTGCCGCGGCGACACGGGCTGTGGTGCCGGCGCTGGCGCCGGGGCGGGCGGCGGCGCTGGAGGCGGGTGACCGTTGGGGATTGGGCGCGCGGCGGGCGGAGGCGGGGCGCGCTGCTGCGGCTGCTGCTGCGGCGGGGGCTTTCTGGGCGACGGCGGCGGCGTGGAGAAGCAGTTCCCCATGGCTGGGGGAGCACGCGGAGGGGGAAGGCTGGGGGGATGAAGGGGGGGAGAATAGCGCAAGTATGAGGGGAGAAACGGTGAAGATAGGGTTGATTGAGAGACGAGTGAAGTTGAGGAAGAGTGGCGTTGAGTGAGCGTAGCGTAGGGTGGGGCGGGAAATTAGCGAGTACGCAAGTGACGACAGGCGAATGGAGCCGCGAACGGTTGACGGCGAGTAACATGGGCGGAGATGGGCGAGAGTGACGCAAGAAACGGGGAAACAGGGAAAGCTGTGAAATTGATGGCATTTACCTTAATGCGCGTGGTGTCCTCGCGCCGCGTTAACTTATTCTGAGCCTGAACACTATCCACAATAATAGGTAAACCTAGGTGCTAGAACAATTAATGTGGAGAGGGTAATGGCAGACGGTCTATGCACGTTTCTGCTGACGAGTCTTCTACAAATGAAGTCCTGTTATATAGCGACCAAACAATTGGAACGAGTCGCACCGAACTTGCGTTGACATCTTTCCCAAGGTGCTACTTCCTAAATATTTAAGAGTCTAAAATTAAGTCCGTCTTCGTCTCCGCCACTGCTGAAAGGAGTCGAAGGGAGCTTGTGTTTGCACTAATGGTGCACTTGAGGCGTGTATGTAATGAAGAAGCTGGAAAACAAGGGACGCGGGCAGCGTGTCGTCGTGGAGTCATTTCGTCTCAACTCCCAAAAACACCTCCACGTACCCCGCGTACTTTGTACTCCCCAAACGTCCGATGTCCTGTGCGGTACATCTCCCGCACGGTAAAAAGTGGTTTCCATCAAAGGAGCTGACACATACAGGTTTCTCTCAAGGTCGGACTGCGGGTCCTGTGAGCCTCGTCGAATGGGAGCAAGTTACTAACTCCAGATGGCTTATCGCTTGTTTCAGCGCGGTAAACGATTGTGCAGTTCGGTGAAAGTCACAGCGGTTTCTCAGTCCTCCCACTCGCAACACGCCCTGGGGATCATTTCGGACTGGTGCGGAACCCCGCGCAATGTTCCGCGCGCAGTTTGCTTTGCCACTGCACTGCTGTTCGAGGCAGTGCCTCCACCGCCTTGACGCTTGACGGTTTTGACCTACGCGGTGTGGGGAGAATTAGCGGAACCGCGCACACCACGGCGTGGCGAAGTTCGCTTGCGGAAGTGCCCCGTTGGCGCGTCAAACGCCGCCGTGCCTAGCACGGCCCGGTCGTCCGACTCGAACTTGGATGAACTCGGCTTGGCGGGGTGTAGAGAGTACTCGTTTGTGGACAACTCTGAAGTTGATCCAGAAGGCCGAAGTCGGTGTGTGTGTAAGGAAATTCCTTTTTCCTTACTCCGCTTACACTATTGTTCACGCGTACACTATTGTTCCCGCCACACTGTGCACTATTACCACTCGCGACACTCACTGCTGATACAACCAAAGGATCAGTGGATAGGATAGAATGTGTTAAGCCTGAAAGGAGACAGTGAAGTCTCTGTAGTGACCTTGTTGAGTAATAGTTGAAAGAAAACAAGATGATTAAAAGGTATGAGTACAAGAAATTAAATAGCGAACTATCTAGCCATGTACTCTGAGGGGTACATTCCCTTATTAACTGCATAGCTACAGTAACCACGACTATTGCTATTCTCGACAGTTACCGTGTTGCAGTCTGTTAACTGTCGCGTGGTTGCTGGATCGTCAAGGGTCACGACCGTTGACTATCTTTAGACGGTTGACCTTCGGGTGACCCTCGAGATTCCGCGTGCTCTATATGAGCTAATGCGGTACTAGTACAGAGGAGCATCTTCGGGAATGCCTTTATAACATTTCGATTATTCCAACACTCCCATGTTTACAACCATATCATGTCATCATTGATCATCCATCATGCATCATGCATCATGGCTACAACACACTTTTCCCATGAAACACTCACCTGGAAAGTCAATGCCCTTCCAGCACTTGCGCTTGTCTGCTCAGCTAAATCTGTTCATTCAGTTGCCAACAGCACATGCCACGTTGCATGCAGTTCTAGGCTAAATGACGCTTCCCTTCCAACTGGCAACAGTCTAACAAACAATGCGCCTTTTGAATTGAATTATCGCATTCCTGTTCTTCCACTCCTCTCACGCTCATGTATTTTCCCGTGCATGCAACCCTATGGCAGCGCACGGGCAACAATCTGACCAAGAAGGTGGACACGATGGTGTATGACTTCACTCAGTTCAACTTCACCATCGAGTACCATCTCTCACATTTCCTCGTGGGCTTCCACAGAGCTCCTGGGCCACGTGGGATTTCTTGGTGATCCCACAGAGGTTGGCGCAGTGCTGGTACTGCTGACGTGGCAGTTTCTTCGTCAGGAAGTCGGCTGCCATGTCACCGGTCGGGCAGTACGTCAGCTTGACTTTCCCCTTGTCGATTTCGTCCTTCACGAAGAAGTAGCGAAGGCCGATGTGCTTGGTGCGGTTGACGAAGCCGGGCTTGATCGCGCTCTGATTGTCGCAGAGTAACGTGAAGTGCCCGTTCATCGTCACTTTCGCCTCCTGCAGGAGCTCCATCAGGTACAGACCTTCGCGAACAGCTGCGCTAGCTGCGATGAATTCTGCTTCAGCTGACGAAAGAGCGATGAGTTCCTGCTTCTGGGAGTTCCAAGAGATGAGTCCAGCAGGTTGGAGTTGGAAAATGAATCCTGTACGGGAGCGTCTGTTATCAACATCTCCAGCATGATCGGCATCCACGTAGCCATGAAGCTGCAGAGTAGCGGTGAGGTTGGCTTCGTAGGTGAGGCCGACGTCGGGAGTGGAGATGAAATACTGCAGTGCTCGGCGTAGATCCAATAGATTCTCCCCTTCGGGTCACTTCAGATACTGTGCGAGCTGGCTAGCGACGTAGGAGAGATCGGGCCGGCACGTGACGGCGGCGAACAGGAGGCAGCCGAGCTGCTGCTGATAGAGACGATGGTCGTCAGGAGAGAGTGGCGTGGTGTCGGGCTCGTGGTTAGGAGGAGGAGTGCGGTAGGGGGTAGTGAGGTTGATGGGAGCGATGGCGAACCGCTTCGCGAGTGTTTCGGCGTATTTGGCGGCGGAGAGGTGAATGGAGGAGGCGGACTGGGTTACGTTGAGGCCGAGGAATTGGGTGACGTTGTGATTGACGGTGACTTCAAGCTTCTTTTTGATGTCGGCCTCGAATTGGTCGAGTAGCTCCGTGTCGTCCCCGGTGTAGAGAAGATCGTCGACGTAGGCGACGAGGAGGATGAACTTTCCGCGCGACTCCCGCCTGTACATTCCGAGATCGTGCGGCAGTTGAGTGAAGCCGAGCTCAAGGAGGACGGAATGCAGGTACTGCTGCCACAGACGAGGAGCTTGCTTGATTCCGTAGAGAGACTTTTGGAGGAGGCACACGGCGCCGTCGCTTTCTTCGAATGCGTGGGGCTGTTCGACGAAGATGATGGCATCAACGGGAGCGTACAGGAAGGCGCTTCCGACGTCGATTTGCCGGAGCGGTCGCTGTTTGACGGCGGCGATGCAGATGAGGATGCGCACCGAAGTGTGACGGCCGACTGGAGCGTAGGTGAGGGTGAAGTCCACCAGGTGAGTTTGCTCGAATCCCCGCACCACCCAGCGCGCCTTGTACTTGTCGATCGAGCCATCGGCGAGAGTTTTGATGCGGAAAACCCATTTGCCGCTGAGAATTTTTCTCCCCTTTGCCGATGACCGTGGAACCAGCTTCCAGGTGCCGCGCTTCTTCAGCGACGCGATTTCGGCGGCCATGGCTGCTCTCCATTTGTCGCTGTCGGGGCCAGACAGGGCTTGGCGGACTGTGGTTGGTTCCTTGGGCGAGGTGTGGCGAACAGCGACGGCGAGGCTGAGAACGCGGAGACCGGTTTCGTTAGTCTTTTCGTAGTGAAGGCGGTCGTAGTCGTGGAAGCTGGTAACCTCGACCACGTCGTCATCACTGTCGTTGCCGAGGCGGAGGGTATCCTGCGATGTGTGGGGTTGTTGTAACTCGGCATCAGGTGATCGGCGCGCTTCGCTGTTGTAGTTGTGGGCCTCGCGTGTTATATCGGCAGGATCGGGTTGGTGTAGAGGTACGAATATTGGGGTTTTGAAGCGGCTTGTGAGGGGGATGTTCGGAGCAGAGTCCATGGGAGTGATATCGGGTGCGTCCACATCCTCGGCCAGGTCAGCTTCGTCGTGTGACGTGGCGAAGCTGCGGTGGCCCTCGAAGAGCCTCTCGGGCAGCTTGTCAGCTTCCTGGTGCTCCTTGAAAAGGGGCAGAGTCAGCTTCTCGTAGAAGATGCAGTCACGTGATTTCGTCACCTCGTGTGTCGCGTAGTCCAGCACGATCCACGCCTTGAATTCCTTTTCGATTCCGAGGTGGATGCCCCATCGTGCTCGGTCAGCAAATTTTCCAGTTCTTGCAGTGTGGGGTCTGTACTGTACCATGCAGCCAAATACTCGAAGCAGGCGTGTATCTGCTTTTCTGCCCGTCCATGCCCGGTAAGGAGAGTTGTTGTTCTCGAGGCTTCGCGAGGACAGCAGGTTGTGCAGCCGAACAGCGTGATTCATCGCAAATGGCCAATATTTAGTTGGGATGGCCGACTGCTTCATTAGGGCCCTCATCCGCGTGGCAAGGCTTCTGTTTGTCCTTTCTGCTACACCCTGTTGTTGGTGAGCGTAGGGCAGGGACACCAGGTGCTCAATCCCCTTCTGCTTGAAGAGCTCCTTGAACTCGTCTGAGAAGAACTCCAGGGCTCCGTCCGTCTGCCAGGTTTTGAGTTTCAAACGCCCAGACTGTCGCTCAGCCCGCTTCATCCACGCAATGAAGCACTCGAAGGCCAGTGACCTAGAGTCGGTGTTGATGGCCCAGACGTAACGCGTAGAGGCGTCAATGAAGGTTAGCGTGTACTGCTCCCCTTCGAGCCCTTCTTGGCTGAGTACCATGAAGTCGCTGTAGACCTTATCCAGCGGTTTGTAGCGCTCGTACCCTGGTGGTAAGTCTGGGAATGGTTGGTGGTTGAGGGATGCAGTCGGGCAGACGA